ATTTTATGAAGGTAAAACAGTCGTCATAGGGCCTATGGTTGTGTTTCATTGGCTGCATTGTAAAGAGAGATTTCAGTGTCCCTAAGACCGTGGTTTTTACCTGGAACCACTGTAAAACATTTGGGATTATTATCTTACAGCACAATTTGAGTTTTTGGCCAAATAGTTTACCGGAAAAATGAAAATTTCAAGATGTAAAATATGACCATGATACCTTAGGAGTCATAATTTGGTTGTTTCATGTTTGCGTTGTCTTCTGCGGCCTGGGCTCCTTTGCTGGACTTCGTCTTCTATGACGCAAATAGGGCTGCCATGATGCACGGCACCCTGGTGCGTTGTAGGACAAGTAGGCCAGTCAGTCTGCTGGGTTCATGGAGGGTAACGAGGGCATGAGGTCCTTGAACTACAGGACTTGCAAAGCACTATGGTGACATTTTACAACTGCACTATTTCACTTTTTAAGATTTTGGTGCTTGAAGAAACCCAGACATTTCCTACAGAAAACAAACACTGGCTGCAGAAAGTTCAATCAAAACTCCAATTAAAATGGACTCGCAATTTTTGCTGAGCCCATTTCTTACACTTGGCCGTGCCTAGGCGTTAGCTGATCAGAATCACCCCCCCCCCCCAACGGCCTCCACATCTCCTACACCCCAATTAGCATTTTGGGAAGGGCAGGCTCGTTCTGATACCTTGACATTTCAGATCATTTCGGGGCTCTTTTCAAACTCCCATTTTATATCCCTCCTGGTCGCACTTTTCTTGAAAACAATCCTGTTTCTGAGAAAACAAATCCATTACAAATATCTTCTTTTTTACTACAAGACCCCCTGCCCCCAGCCATTTCCAAAATTGCGTAAACCCGAGTCACTCCCCCTTAAAAAGAACACCGTACCTCCTAGCCAGGATTGTGCATGTATTTGGTACAAACAAAAATATGTGCATTCAGTTTTCATAGCGCTTACATCAAATTCAAAGTAACTTGGATCACGGAACAGAAATACTCTGGCTAATAAATACATCTGAGGATGAAAAATAAAAATCTATACATAAAAAAACTCCAAATGTCTGCTAAAGGAAATGTACACTTATATACACACTGTAAACAATAGACAAGTTGCCAAACTTCAGTCCAGCTCAGTGGTGGGGAGGTACAACTCTCTTCTTGGAACAGAAGCCACAAGGGTCTGCTGACTGAATCGGTTTTGCCAGCCATCCTTGTCATTAGGCCATCAAAGCAGCAAGGTAGAGCAATGCGAAACGGAGGCTGGAAAGCCACCGTAGGGAGGATGTGGGAGCAATATGTTGTGGGACGATTAGGCCGAGGCCATATAGCAATTAGAAGGGCCTCAAATACTTTTCCTTTGGTGCAAAGTTGTGGGAGCTGGGGGGGGGTCTTCTCCTTTTCCAGCTGATGGTGATGCTACTCTTCTGAAGACCTGACATAAGATCAGCCTCAGCTATAATTAGATATTTACTCAAATCTAAGACGAATCCCTCCCCCCCCAATCAGCAAGGGTCAGAGACGCCTCTTGTCTTAGATTTGTGAACAAAGCGGGGTGGATGGGGTGAGGCAAGTGGCTGCTGTGGCTCTAACTCTGACCTCGAACCTGGGTTGGGCCTAAGTCAGAGCCGCGGCCTAACTCGGCTCCAGCTCAGGCTGGATTCCCTCCTGGGCTGGAGCACAGGGAAACTGCATCCTCTGCCTGGCCAGTCAGCAGTACCTTTGCTGCTACATGGCTCGGCCAGGGTTGAGCTTGCACGTGCTATGCTCCAGGGAGGGACTAGACAAAGCAGCAGCCGATAGTAAGCGGGGCTGGGGGCAGAGACTGCAGGGAGCAGGGGGAAAGGACAGAGAATGTGGGGACGAGGGAGGAGGGGAAGAGGCTATGGGGGGGTCCCAGCGGTGGTAAAAAAGTGAGGAGGGGGGCAAGGGGCAGTGGGAGGGAGATGAATTCAAGACAGCCCTCTGAAAATTAGATTCGATACTTGGAAAATGATAACAAATTTATACATTCGTCTTAAATTCAGGGTCGACTTAGATTCGAGTAACTACAGTATGCATCCAAGTCAGCATCGACTCAGGTTGAAAATCCCGTCTTTCAAAATTCCTTCGTTTACTGCTTGACGTAAGTAGGCAAGGCATGGTGGAATGATTACACCCAGGTCTCTGCTGAAATCCTTTCCTCGGGTAGATTCAAATTCTTAGCACAAACTATCCTTGCAAGGGGGAAACGTACATCCCTGATTTTATATCTATAATATAAATATTTAACTGTAATGCACTCGACTGCAGCAGTTGGCAGGTTTTATGACACCATTTTTATAGTGGATGCGTCTAGATATTTCTAGTCTATGCTCAGCGGACTCGCCAAACGGCTTGATTTAAACACTGGCACAGCTGCAATTAGCAAATAATGGAGATGTATGTGTATGTGTGTAGGCTTATGCCTACTTTTGTCCCGGCAAATCCCCCGCAACTTTGAACAGAGCCCAGAGGGAAAATCAATAAAATACCAAACAAACAGGCATTGCTTTACCAAGTGCTTTCAAAGCATCGGAGGCTGTAAACGTAAGTATTTTAAGACATAAAAATGAAACCAAAAAAAAGCTAATTTAAAAGATCAGACAGAAGGGTTAGCAACGATCTCAGCTACTAAGAAGAAATCTTCAATAAACTGTTTGCCAGCAACAGATAGAAAGCACTGCAAAGTCTCTAGTTTGTAGGGAAATGTCTATCATTGGGGGACATGACGTTATATGAGTGTACTTATCTATAGGCACATAGAGACACAGCTACACACACACCTCTCGACTGGTGGATGGATGGAGTCTCATTTTGCTGTGTGAGGAGCGACCCATGTCATTCCCTTGATGTTATCCAAGGAGGCCAAATATCTATACAACCTTTTGCTAGGCCCCTATGGTGGTAGGTGCAATTAATATTCAAGGTGCACGCTAGTTACTCAGATGGCTAAATGTCCTACTGGATACTCCCACATTACAGCAGCTACGCACTTGCACCCACAATGACTTGGATCTACAAACTGCGGCATCCAAATAGCAGCCCACAAATGGGTTACCCATGGGTGTGGTTTCTTTCGTTTGCCCAGGAGCACCAGTCCTCCTAATGGCAGACGTGTCCCCCAGCCGTCCCTTCCGAATGGGTTACGCGCCCCCGGATGATGGTGAAAACCTTTCTTCTGTGTCAGTGAACTGTGTGCTCATATGTGTGAAATGGCAGGTGAAGGCAGAATGAAAGGATCTTTTATATCATGCATGTCCCTCTAGACCTGGACCTATGACAAGCTAACACTGGCTTAATTTTCATTGGTTTGGAAATTACACCCTGGTCCTGAGTGGACAGATGACCAGTAGCTGCCATATGGAGGCTGTTCTAGTGCTTTAGGAGGTGAAGGAGCACGTACCAGCCTGTTTCCATAGGGCACGCAGCTACTCCGAGATAACTGAAGGTACATAACATCTGCCTACAAGTGGCACCCACCCCAGTTCATTTATACTGCTGTGTTTTTCTGGCTACACCGGATTCTGGTAAGAACCCTAGTGTAGGGGTTGACATCATGTATCTACTCCCTTTTTACACCAGCAGAAAGGTATAAAGCATTTAGCACAAGCTTTACTCCAGTTGGCACAGTGCCCCCATTCATGCTACGATCAGTGTTTCATTCAATATATGTGGGACTCCCCCTTGTCCTTTTTTCCACAGCTCTACCCAAAATGCCTGGATCCCAGCACCAGCGACCATGAACTGCTCTGGCTTTGTCTATATTGTGCTTTCTTACAGTTCTCTGACCCGACTGCTTTATCTTGGGTTGGGTGGAATAGCCAACTGCATGGATGAGCAATGCTTTAGAGAGGCCCAGTCTAACCCATTAGGCGTCTGTCCATTCACGTTACTGGCAGGAGGAATTTAGCTCAAAATGGTTAGCGTTAATTAAAGAAGAACTGCAAATTGAAAACTCCCACTGATGGCAGTGGGAATCTCATGTGTGTGGTAAGAGCAGGAGATGGCCCATGCTAGAATGAACGCACCTGCTCTTAGAAGCTAAGCAGCTCTGCAGATTGGACAGTATTTGGATGGAGACCCTGCTGGGATTTCAGCTGCTCTAGATAAAAGTCAGGGAGTTGGGAGTGAATGCCAGACACTGAATGAATGGCAAGACCTGATTTTGCCCCCAAGGACGAGGACCCAATAGAGAGGGGAAGGAAGAGTAATGGCCTTGTGCCAAGATTTGTACATCAAACCATGTGCAGACATGGCTCTTACAGTACTAAACAGCTACTTTGTGGGCACATCTACATGAGATGCTTTGAGCGCAGTAGACTAGTTCTACTGCACATTCGTGCGGTGGGCAAACCCTGCGCTAATGCATACTAGAATTAGTCTCTTGTGCACTACTGTCACCTAAAATGCATGTGCCGCTGCTACTGCGCAGTAGTGCTGGTTACTGCAAATTTAGTTAGTGCTGTACCTGTTAATGCAGGCACTAAACTAAGTGTGCAGTAACCACTGGGCATTAATGCATATGTAGATGTGCCCTGCTGTTCCCAGATCTGCCTCTTTTAGCAGCACTGGAGGGTGTGTCTCATGAACCGGAATCAAGAACAAATAATTGGGAAAATCAAAACACCTTTCCCATAGACTTCTCATTGGGAACGTTGCCATCGGCATGGCAAAACTGAGCTGGGAACACCGTCCACCAGCTGGCATTGCTGAGCCAGGACTTCGGCCTTCTCTGAATGCACACGCTACCCAAAGCAGACAGGCTTGGTGTGGGTGCGGCGTTGGCTGGTGCTGCTTCATGCTACTGGCTTTCTGCAGGGAAGGATTCGGAAAAACCCCAGAACTGCTTGTGCAATAACTCATCCAGTTCAGTATCATAGCGAAAAGGGGAGGAAGGTGTTACAATAACTCAGATATGAACCACCCCGTGTATCACATTTGGGTATCCACTAGAGTAGGCTCTCTTCCCATGTCTTTTTTTTTTGTTTAAACATTTTTTATATTGAATTTCTGTTGCAAAGCAAATAGAAAGCAGGAGAAAACCATAACACCCTGTTTTCCTAACTCTGCGAGTCTGGCAGCTAGATTCCTTGTTTTACAAAATGACAGTCAGAAATACTACGTAAACTAGTCCATGCCCCAGTAATGAAAGACATGTGAGGCTCAATGGGCCAACTTCTATCCCAGGTGGGACTCTGCTGATGTTGTTGGGTTTCCACTGGGGACTAATTTGGCATAATGGCTCCACACTGGAACTGGTTTTCCTGTTTCTTTACTTGCATTTGAGAGTGGGCCTGAGTTAACTGAGACTGAGTTAAGATCTAAACGTTTCCCAGGACCACAGAGTTTTTAGATTTGTGGCCCATTTCTTATCTTGAAGGAGGTTTGGTTTGGAGCCTCCTGGGCTCCACAGCTGCCTAAAAACCTCAATAAAATAAACATCTAGGATACACATCTGGCCAGGGTTTGACAAACCAATTGTCCGAGTGCAAATATGCTAGGAAGCGCAACACATAACTTGGTGCCGGGACTCAGTGTATGGATGTGCTACTGACAGTGCCCTCTTGGAGGGTTACACATCATCTTTCTCCACATTGCCTGGGTACCCAGAAGCCACTGCATCCTCCTGGAAGAGGCATCCCGTGTTGGCTCTGTGCACTTTAGACACAATACAAAATAAACAACGTGCCCTTGCCCACACAAATGAGGAGTGCTGCTGGCTACCGACTACTTCGGCTTGTACAACCAGGCAGTCTTGGGTTGGAATTGTATTTAAATGGAACAAGAACAATGCATCTGATCCTGACCCAGATCAGCTGCAAACACCTGAACAGCTTGAAGGAGGAAGAGGCAAATAGATGTGCGAGGAGGAAAGGGAAAGAGGAGAACCATGCATGACCAATATCAAAAGGCATGTTTGGCATCGCCTTCCTCGTGCTGATGCTGAAGAGCTGGGGTGTGGTCAACAGTAGGAGGGCTAGTGGTGCCTATGTAAAGTTCAGAGATTTGGACTAGAAAAAAGACCCGTGCTCTCATTTGTTTCAGTGTGCAAGAATGACTATTGAGGCATAAACCCAGTTTATGCTTAGGTAGTAAACTGCAGCCACCACAGTCCACAGCAGGGATCGCGCCTGGACCAGGATTATGTGATGTAGTGGCCTGCATTAATGAAGGACTGAATTTGATGATCTAGGGGTTTGTTACAGTCCCCTCCTCCATGTGCCTACAAGCTCTTACCACTAGAGCTAAAGGAACACCTCTGTCAGGCGTTACTTGTCGGCAAGGTTGGTCCTTGCTGGAAACAACCTTGAAAGAGCAACATGAGCAGATGCACTAAGACAGTAGAATTGCATTCAACCTTGGTGTCTTAATGGGCTTGATCATGCCATGCTTTTATCGCACGAGATGCATCCTATTTTTCCGTGAGCTGCACAGCTCCTTGGAGACACCAAGGTGCTATTACACTAGATGGAGCGGACCCTGTCCCAAGAGCCCCACTCTCCCACCACTTCCTTCACCATCGCGCAGCATGATCTGATAATTTCCTGAAGCTCCAGATGTTTCCTCCCAGGAGGAACCCCTGTTCTCAGAGCACTGCATAACCTCAGTGGGTGGTGTTTGCATCTGGGGACACCTGATTGTTGCTTCTACTGGACAAGCACACGGACAGTATCTTTCACCCACTCCATGTAATGCACATAGGAAAAAGAGAGAGAGACCCAACAGCTGTCCCAGTGGCTTTAAATATCTGTTTCTCTCAGCCCGCAGCAGTCCGTTAAGTCATACGTTTGATAGTCAATAGTTTCCGTGAAGTCATTAGGGATCGCTATAGAGACGGACTCAACCTCTGTCTTGTAAGCTGCGGTCACACTCCCTTTGCCTGAGCCGCCCCTGATTTTGTGGGAGAGGCTGTTCATCTTCTCCTTCAGCTGGGTGGAGGATGGCTTCTGGAAAGGCATTTTCCACCCTCTGAAGCTTAGCGTTCTCCTCTGACTGGTTCTCTCCTGGGGCGAGGAGTGAAATATGAAAGAGCTGTTCAAGGTGGCAATTCTGGGCTTCATGTCCGGGTCTGAATCCCGCCCAGAGCTGCTCATGGAGGCTCCCCGCCAGTGGTGGTCGTACACCCTCCAAAGCGGCCGCCGTCTCCGGCGGCACTGGCACTTGAGCAACCGGATGAAAGCTCTCTTGAACTCCTTGCTCGAGCAAGGGTAGATGAGAGGGTTCACACAGCTGTTGAAGTACCCCAGCCAGAAGATGACTTTGAAGACCATGTCTGACGGCTTCAGGGATGGAAAGAAGGAACCTGGGAGGAAATCAAAACAAATGAAGTTAGAGTGGGGGGGGAATAGCGTGGCAGCTCAGAAGAGAAAGATCTGCTGGGGAGGTGGAAGGGATCTTAACCCTGCCTACGGTAGGCGTCCACCAGAGCTAAGCATTTGGTTGTGTTACTATGCCCCATGTGGAAGACCACCATTGCCGTCACCATGAGCTTGTTTCTGTGCCTGGTTCCCTAGGGATCCATCCAGCCCCCTCTACTCGGGGTGCAGAGGCTCTCCCAGCACCAGAAAAGGTGAAGTCAGACTCTGGAATGGGAGTCAGATGCCTAGAGGCATCAGTAGTGGTAGTGGTAGTAGTCATGGTCATGGTCGTGGTAGTCATGAGCTGCTTACAGGCCAACATAGCTTCATGGGAGTAGCTTTAAAAGAAGACCCTTGGATCAGGGGAATGAGTTCTCTTGTCATCTCCTTGCATACCTGCTCAGCCCCCGTCCTGCCCAAGGGGGAGAGGATTTAGGCTTAATTTTTTTTTTTTTTAGTTTCCACAATTCAATGGAGGGTTGGAATCCATATTCCAGGCAACGGGGACCTCTTCTAATGTGAAGAGGTGCAAGCATACAGCTCAGCTTGTGTCACCCACCTGCGTGGGTGCCTGTACCCACGGTATCTTTGCAGCTCTTCACCTTAACCTCTGTGCCTCAGATGCACTATTCAGATAATGATACCAAGCTTCCCCCGCTGGGTTTTAGGAGGCTTCATTCATTAGTACTTCTAAAGTGCTCTGGGTATCTAGATCCTTTATTGGTGTACATGATTTATTGCTACTTAAGAAATCAAAGTCCCCAGGAGACCTAAGGAGATGTATGACTTACACATACAAAACCACAGGGTGCTCTAGTGCTGAGACTTAATTTGTTAATACTGGGAAGAGTTTTATGACACAGTGCCTACTGGGACCAAAACGGTGCCCCTTGCGTGGTGTGGCGTAGCCCTCCTCAGGGAATTATGGCCTGCAGCTGGGGGTGAATAACCAACCACAACTGGCCATGAAAATCTCTACTTTGGAGGGCCTTTTCTGTGAACCTGCTGTAAAAAGGGAGGCAACCCAGGTTTATCTGGTACTAATACCCAAGACCGCCTTGTATAAGTTCTTTAGAAATGAATCCAAAAGCCCATATGATTTAACACGCAAGGCAACCTTTTCTGCCCAACTTTAAAATCGGTGTCCTACTTGCAAAACCCTATCGGCTGGTTTTCAGACTCCTCAAAAAAGCCATTGCTCTGTACAGCCCTAGAGGACTTCTCTGTCGTCATGTTAGCCAAATGCTCCTGTTAGCCAGGCTACAAGATGCACTGCAAAAACGACCTTTTCCCCTCCCTGTGCCTTTTAGGCCTCTGCATATCACAGAGCACTAGCACCTTAATTCTGTTTTTAATATCCCCAGCCTGTGTCACTGTATTTTCACATATACCATATGCCCTTACACACTGTCTTACACATGACATGCATCCCACAGTAAGACATGCACCTTGTTTTGAGGTGGAGTGAAGACAACAAAGGGTTTTTCCAGAGTCCACCTGGCCACAGCATGATGGCTGCATGCTCCTGGCCCCTCGTGTCAGCTTCACAGTTCAGACTTGAACCTTATCACAGTCACTGCCAAATTGGCAGCAGCTTGTGTCTGCTCAGCCAAAAGTTGCTGCCACTCCAAGAGTGGCTACAGAGGTGTCAAAGCTTGAGCGGTGGAGTTTGCAAGGCCAGAGTCAGCAATAAAGTCTGCCCTTCCTTGCCTGCATCCTGGAAAGGGGAGGAAGGGCAGCACAGCCCCCAGCAGCCATTCCAGTGACCACATGGCTGCACCCTGGTGGGAAAATCAGCTTCCTTGCTTTGAACATGCACCCCAAATTTTGAACGGCTAATTTTTGGAGAAGCGACGTGTGTCTATGCGGGTAAATACAGTAGGTGGTGATCTCACAGCAACTGTATGGAGCTGGCTCTGTAGTCCCGTAAGTCCCAGTACTGTTGGGCCCAAGCCTTAAAAATCAAAACGATTTTACAGTACTGCAACAGATTCTTCTTATTTGCCCTCTAGTGTTGATCCCTCTGCAGGTGACATTTTCAAGTCTTTTACCACAACCAGGATGTATAGAAACTTGCTTAGAAAGCTGAGCCCTTCCAGTAGTGTCATGACTCCAGAAGCTGGGGCTTTGGATGGGAAAGCATCCATCTTTAAGACTTGGAAAAACTGTTTTTTTTAAAACTCACTTGTACCTTGGATCTGTATAGCAGTTCCTGCGTTAGGAAAAGACCCTAAGACACAAGGTCACCCTCTCATGATGCTGCCTTTAACTTGCCAGCCTTACATGCCTATTGTCTAATCTGTGTTTTAAACAGGGATCGGCACCAGCTCAGGGCATCACCTGAAGCGGGAAGCCCACCAAGAGAAGAGCGCCGCAGCACAGAGTGACCACAAGTTCCAGCCACTATGGGGAGCAGACAGGAGACACCACAACCCAATGAGCATTGGGTGCTGCCGGCTTCATCAGACGAGCTGCTTCAGCACACGTACCCGACAGCCCTCCCCAGCACAAATGCTGAGATGGCAGCCGCCCAGACACAGCTGCTCCTGTCAGGTGGTAAGTGTGGATCAGGGAGATGGATTTCCCTGCCCCACCAGCTGCGACTCTGGATTTCCAGCTCAGCAGAAAGTGTCAGATCTTTAATTAAACATAACGGAGCAAATGTGGATTTAGAAACAGTATGGAACAGCAGCAACTACTGGGTTGGGAGCCAGGAAAATTGGGCTTCATTTCCACCTCTGCCACAGACTACTGAGATCCCGGGCGAGTCACTCTACGTCTCTGTGCTTCAGTTTGTCCACCTGTAAAAGGTGGATATTGGGTGCATCTACACATTGCCGTATGGCGATGTTGCTACGGTGCCATGCTTTAGTATTTCCTTTTGGAAGTACTACAGCATGGTGCAATATGGGTGGTTACTGCGCCACGTGTGTGGTGCATGGCTAACTTTTGTTGCTACATTGCCGTAGCGGTGCACTATACTTGGGGATGCGCCCAATGATACTGAGCTTTGCAAAATATTTGATACACCCATGCACATGCACATGTGTGCGCGCGCGCACACACACACACACACACACTATGCATGCTATATAATATACATAATAATACCTTACATGATAAATAAGGTATTGCATATTACCGAATCATAGATACGTTGAGTGAGCGAGCCCTCATCTGTTTGAACCTCCTGCTCAAGTGGGATCATTCCCATCTAAATCATTCTAGGCAGGTATTTGCCTTAAAGCTTCACATACAATCCTCTTGCACATCTATTAAACACCAAGAATA